ACTGAGGCACCTTAGGCACCTTGACCATTCCGTTAAATTCCGCTTCTCCAAAAGATAATGTCAACACACTCTGGGAAGAACTCCACGACTTCATAAGGTGCGACTCCAGCATTCCTGGACCCCCGCTTGTCGATGTCCGCGAGTTCTTGCAACCTGTAGACTCGGCGCCGGTCCAAACAATTAACTTCCTAAGGCGTTATTGATACACGCGCTGGTACCCACACCTGTTGTGATTCTTGAGATACTTGCCCAATGTTGCCAGACTTGCCCATGCCCCTCGGGTTGGGGCGCACATGAAATGCGGGAGCTCATTGACTGAAACTGCATTTCCAAAAGGCCCTGTGAAATAGAATTTGCCCCGTCCACTAAAACGCTGCATGTCTTTACCTCGAGGATTGGAAGGGGCCCCTGGCCATCTTTCTCGCATGATTGATTTTCACCTGGCATCCAACACCTCGCCTCGCACAAATCCAGCCCTACCTCTGAAATCACAGCACGCCTCTGACCAGTCGGAATGCTACAATCGAACATTTACTCCTCGTCCTCCTCCACCTCCTTCTCCTCCTCCGCCTCCTACTCTGTCGCTTCCTCCTCCTCATCCTCCTCCTCCTCCTCCTCCTCCTCCTCCTCCTCCTCCTCCTCCAGCTAAGCCTCCTCAAGCCTTCTCTTCCCCCTTCCCTTCCCTCCTCCTCCCCTCCTCCCCTCATCCTTCCTCCGTCCTGCCTTATCCCCTTCCCCCCCTTATTCCATCATCCTCCTCCTTTTTCCTCCTCATCCTCCTTCCCATCACGACCATCACAATAATCACCATCACCATCTGAATCAAAACGATCATCGGCACCAGCATACTTACGTAATCATCATAAACACCAACATCACCCTTATCAGCATCGCCACCCTCACCACCATCAACGTCACCCTCAGCATTCTCATCATAGTGGCCGTCGTTATCATAATCACCACATTATCCTCGTCACCATCATTAGCATATTGATCATCATACACGACATCCTCATCACCGTCATCATCATCATCAGCAGCAGCATCATCATCGTCGTCGCCAGCACCGTCACCATAACCACCACTATCACTATCATTATCATCTTCATCAGCATCAGCATCATCAGCATCATCACCATCATCATCATCATCATCATCATCATCATCATCATCATCATCATCATCATCATCATCATCCCTTGACTCCCTCGTCATCATGCAACATCATCCCTCCTCCCTTCTCTTTCTCCTTTTCCTCATTCCCCTCGTCATCTCTCGTCATCCCTCCCCTCACTCTTCCCCACTCACTTCATCCATCCGTCCATCATCCCTTCTCCTACTCCATCCCTATCCCCCCCGCATCGTCTTTCGCCTTCTCGTCGGCGTACCTCTTCTTTACCGCGTCCATCCTGCCTCATCGTTCCTCATCTCCCCCCCCCCGCATCATATGTCCTCCTCTGGTGTTCTGTTGATCGTTGTAATCACCCATCAGCCATCATCACCATCATCACCAGACTCATCATCACCAGCATCGTTACACTGTTCGCCGCCACCACAACCCCCGTCTTCATCATCATCATCATCAGCACCACCACCACCATCAATATCAACATCAGCATCACGATCAACACCACCACTACCATTATCAGCATCATCAGCAGCAGCACCATGATCATCAGCATCACCGTCAACATCGTCATCTTCATCATCATCATGTTCATCCTGCTCATCATAACCATCATCAGCATCATCATCATCCTTATCATCTTAATAAAAATAATAATCACCAGTTTTGGAACCCTGAACATTCTCATCCACACACGCATTCAACCCTCATTCTCTCCTCAGCGCGTTCATCCTGCGGACGGCCCGGTAAGCCTTGGTCCGACTCGGGCAGGGCGGGGACGGCGCGGACAAAGTCTGCAACTGTAGCGAGGTCTTGAACATAGGCCGCGGCGATGTTGGAAAGGAGGGGGAAAAGGGGCGAAACGGGAAGTGGGAGGGTGGGTGGAGGTGGTGGAGGTGAAAGGTTGCAGGCTGGCTGAAGAAGAGCGCGGGCCAAAGCGAATGACAGAGCGACACCATTCGAGCGGGGATGGAACACGAGCACGCCCGCCGTCCTCACAAGGCCAGCGAAACCTATTACTGCCCAAGCACTCAAGCATAGTGGGGGAAACGATTCTTTGTACTTTTTAACACAACACACAAAAAAAATCTGGGGCGGACGATTTAAAAAATTGTTTCGCGGGCCCTCTCGCCCCCGCAGTAGCGGGGGGGCAGGGCAGGCAGACGGGGGGCTGACAATTCCGGGTTGCCTGGAAGGCCTGGGGGGGGGGCACGGGGTGGCGATCCAGGGCGCGGGGGCCAAAGGGGTGGACGGGGTGATTTTTCAGGGCGAGCTCGTCCTCCTCCTCCTCCGCCTCCTCCTCGTCGTCCCCCTCCTCCTCCTCCTCCTCCTCCTCCTCCTCCTCCTCCTCCTCCTCCTCCTCCCCTTCCTCCTCTTCCTCCTCCTCCTCCTCGTCCTCTTCCTCCTGTTCCTCCTCCTTCTCCTCCTCCTCCTCCTCCTCCTCTTCGTTCTCCTCCTCCTCCTCCTCCCCCTCGTCCTCCTCCTCTCCTCGCCCTCATCCTTCTCCTCCTTCTTCTTCTCTTCCTCCTCCTCCCCCCCTCCTCCTCTTCCTCCTCCTCCCTCCTCCTCCTCCCTCCTCCTCCTCCTCCCCCTCCTCCTCCTCCTGCCCCTGCCCCCACCTCCCAATCGCCTCGGCCGTCCGCAAGGACGACCGGCGGCCGTCCGCAAGGACGAGGTGATCAAGCGCCTCTTCGAAAACCCCTTCCCTCAAGTACTCCCAGAACGGCACAAGCAAACGCCGGGGGGCGGACGATTAAAAAAACAGTTTCCGGCGGCTGAGATCTTTAGTCAGCCCCACTCAATCATTTTGGGGGGTCCGGGGGGGGGGGGGGGGCGATTTTTTATCGTTTCCCCCCATTGCAAGCGCGGGTGGCAAGGCCGCGGCCCGGGCCCGCAGGCGCAGCAGGGGGCCGATTTTTTATCGTTTCCCCCCATTGCAAGCGCGGGTGGCAAGGCCGCGGCCCGGGCCCGCAGGCGCAGCAGGGGGCCCCAGGTCGCGCGGCGTCGATGCTGACGGGGGCATCTCTGTGACCGTTCCAGCGGGCCTGCCCGCTTTCGAACCCAGGCTCTCCATGCGCGGCGATGGCACGCACCTGCCGTCAGCAATTTCCTGCGGCCGCTCCCGCGGGCACACCCGCCGCGACCGCTGGGTTCCTCCTCCTCGTCCGCGCGCGGGCCCGCGGCTCTCCGCCGCGCGGCCGCTCCCGGGGGCATGCGCGCGAGAGCGCGCGACCATCTGAGTCGGGTGAATCCGGGCCTGGACAGGGCGGCGCGGCAGGGCCTCGGCCCTATAAACTCAGGCCAGATAGTTCTCGACAAAAGTTTCCCGTCCTTTTTGTTGTCCGACACGGCACGGTCTGAGATGGGGCTCACCAGGGCACCAGCGCAAAGCCCACTGAGCCCACGAGTGCCCAGAACGCTGTAGCCGTCGTAACAAGTTGCATGCTGTAGAACAGTGCGCAGTGACCAATCGGATATATGGAGGCGCTGTAAGCGCCGCCGCCCATTGCGAGTCGCCCGTCGCACCCAACAAACCCAAGTTCCCAGAGAAGCTCCAATGCTGCTACGACTGATGTTTCTCGAAGAGCTGCTTGTTGTGATCGCATCGCTGGACGTCTGCCTTCAACCTCCCCCTTGGCGCGTGGACGATCATTCGACGCATGCGTCGCTGGGTTCCTCATAATTTGTCATCCAAAAGCTGGGTCTGACATCATGTCTCGCATCTATACAGCATCATTGTAAACACTGTGTTTGTGAAGATGCGGCTAAGAGAACTGATAGAACAGCGCTTGCCCGTGTGTTCTTCCCTGTTTATAGCAAACTGTTCCATGATGTCAAAATCATGCGGTCGATCTCTGCCTCGTGCGCATTGCGCAAAGACTTACACCGGCCTGGGCATTGTCACGCCCCTTAAAGCCAAACAATATCGATGTCCACATCGTCAAATTTCGCAGCAAGTTGTTGCTGGTCACCCTGTGCAAAAAATGGCGTCGTTCAAGATTTGTGCCCTGTCCGGGTGAAGCCCCAGGCCTCTCTCCCGAGCGGCGGCGAGAACGTCCTGCAACATATTCTGGACCTGGTGGAGCGACGCACCGATAACAAGACATCGTCAGTGAAACGTAAACGCGCGATCCAAAGGGCCGGTCCATGTTTGAGCCCCCAACGTTTGCGCCTCCATTTAGTCGTAGGGGTGCGCATTGCATCCTCTAAGAGAGCGCTGAACAGCAGCGAACTGAGATGTCGGTTTTTTCCTGTGCCTCGTTCAATCGCACATTGTTTGCTCATTCTGTCGGCGCGCACTCGCGCACTCTGCTCGGAATACAAATGCTGCAACAAACGCGAATAACAATCGACAACACAATCCATCACTATCTTGCAACATTGTGACCGTAAAAACGGTGCGCCGTGCAAAAATTGCTCCAGAAACAAGCTTGGTCTCCAAATTGATGGGCGTCGAGCATTGGATACAATCGCGCACATTGTAGCTTAGCAAACAGATTGCACAAGAGAGGGATGACCGCCTTGAGACGGCAATGTCTTGCATCAGTAGCATCACCCGACTAGCGGAAAACAAATACAACCAGTTCTTTCCATGTATGTGGTGCCACCACTTATGGTAAGATGATCGGGTTGTACAAATCTAGCAACGCTTGTTCCAAGCGCGGCCGACCAAACTTGACCATTTCGGCGATGATCCTGGCAGTATCCCTGGCCCGACCAGGATTAGGTTTCTTGGTTTGCGCTCGCATCTCCTTGAGGTGAAGAGCGGCACCGGCGATGCGATTGGAGAGATTGTTGCCCGTGGCTTTCCGCGCGACCAAACTGAAGAATACAATTGCGCATGGGAAATCAGCAGGAATATTGGCGATACTTTGCCGCGCCGTGCTTTCAACCCCGCTCTGGTCCTTCATGCTGGAAATGGAAGCTTTCTGACTGACGATCATGACGCGCGAAATGCGTTGCAAGCCACGGAACCTGTCCAAAATGATACAGATCTTCACTTCGGCCTTGGATCGGCGGTGGGCGCGAAAATTTGTTACTGATCTCCTTGCTCAACTTAGTCCGCCTGCTCGTTTCCGTCGGTCGCATCTTCCGCCTTTCCTCTATCAGCATTGAAGATGGTCGCCATCTGACGTTGTCTCTCCCATTACACTTTCGCACCAGGACTCCGCAGCAGCATCACGGAAAACATGCTCCACGTGTTCAAGGTTTTCGTTCGCATCGTCCGGAATGGCACTGTCAAACACCGTCGCCGATGCACGCGATTGGAAAGCATGGCGGTCCACCTGAGCCCAATCCAAATTCGCGTTGGCCTTGCCTTTCCGTCTACGTACTTTGATGTTCCGTATCCTGGTTTCGCATTTAAGCGCCGAATGGTGAGAACCCAAATCAATGCTGCACGCGCCGCGGCAATCGAGAAGATCGGGTCGCATGCCCACAGCACACAAACGCAATCCAATTGTCGTAAACGCGCGCATGTCCGGTAGAAAGTGCATCTGTGATCCATAAATTGATCGAAGAACGCAGTCATAATTACCTATCGGTTTTGCCCGCACCATGCTGTCGTCCACTGCCCCCTGCTGTTCTTAATCTCGTATACGTGCATTACTAAAATCTGTTTGTCGCCCCCTTCCGCGTAGCTACCAACCTCGGCGCTGGGGCTCGCCGCAACAATAGAATGCATACGCAGTGGCATGGCCTCCTGCAGAAGAGTGCCGAGGACAGAATACAACTCCTGGACATCACAATTCCCGTAACCACTATGTCGAAAGTAAGCCACCACCAATCAAAATCGAAATCCACGACATGCGATGTATTCGAATGCCGCCCTCTCCGTCGGTGGTGAGGCCCCTGACGTTTACCATCTGCGCAGTGCTCTAGATCATACTTTAGTAATCCTGAGGTGGTGAGGCTCCTGACGTTTGACATCTGTGCTGCGCAGCATCATGTAGTAATTGAGTCGCGCTCTAGCACGGCCGGCAGCGTGGAATGCGGCATTTCTGTGCCAATCGGTTTAGACGAATCACCTTGCCTTGCAATGAATATCGGCACGTCTCCACAGGGTTGCTTCATCAACTCTCGACACTCTCTTGCAGAGCGGGGGGCTGGCCTCAGCGAACTTACTTGTATGTAAACTTGTCGTTGCTGTCGTATCCGGAGGTTGGGTAATCGAAATACACGTCGAAGCCTGAATTTCGTTCGCTTCCCTGCTGGGCCCGATCTTGTAGGTAGACGTCCGAGCCGGACCTGATGGGAGAAACCCGATGACATTACCCTTAAAGGTCTCGGCCGACTCGTGAAACAGAATGGGGCGAAAGTGCTGGTGAAAGCGCCGGAGTCGGAATGAGTCCGTCTGGGCTGGTGAAGCTGAGATACCATGGGCCGGGGGGATGACTACCTACCAGACCACCCCAACCCAACCCGAAGACCCGAATTTCGAGTTGGGGGGGTATGGGCTCCATTTGTGTTTTTTCGATGTTCCCGGACCCCCCCCACTGGAAATGGACGGCAGATTGAGGCCTTCGGGTTGGGTTGGGGTGGTTTGATGGGTAGTGAGGGATGGGGATACAGTCGACGATGCTGGCCCCCGTGTGTGAACGCTTTCACGGCAGGGCTCCCGCGGGTGCGCGGGTGTGCCACCCCCGTTCGTGCAAGTGGCCACCGAAACTCAGGCGCCCTCGGACAGGGAGGCAGAGAGGAGCTGCCCGGGCGGGAATGTTGCGGCGCTGTCCCGGCATGCGAGGGGCGCTTCGCCGTGGTCAATGATGTCAGAGAAGGCGCCCACTCCGTCCGCATCACTCTAGGGGGGGTCCTCCTTGTCAATCGGGCGTCCGGTGAGCAGACCGCTGGGGACACTAGAAGCACATGTCATCGCCGCCGTAGGGCCGACCGCAGCTGGTTCGCTATCTCGGAGCTGGTCCTGCGTCGCCGCGTCCTCGATGAGCAACTTCGCATCCTCGAGGCAATTATGATGCGTTCGTGAGGGTCCGCCTCCTGCTGCCCTCCAGCTGGCGCAGAGCAGAGGCCGTCGCAGGAACGGGCGCGGGCGCCGAACCAATAGCGACCGAGCGTGCCGCCGCCCTGAACTCGCGTGGGTCATCTATGGGTGGCTGCAAGCCAAATCATTGATAATTTCATTGCGACCGCAGCGGTACAACAACGCAGACCGAACCAATGTGGTGCAAGGCCACACCCTCCCATCGCAGATTGCCGAGTCCTCTCAGCACTTGGAGCATGCCAGAGGGGCGCTGTCGCTGATCCTGTCCGCGCCTCCACATGCTGGCACGGAAATCACTGGCTATGCCCTGGCGCGCATTGAAGCCGAAGTGCTCACCGCTCTCCTGAAACAGAGATAAGGCCAGCATCGTCAACATCGCAGGGGGCGCAGCCGGCAAACCATTCAGACCAATATGCAAGCTTCGCACCCTTCTCCACACCACCTCGTCAGGGGAGGGGAAGGGAGGGGAGGGGAGGGGAGGGGAGGGGGTCCCTGTCTTGACGTGCCGCCCGCTGAGCAGGACACATCGGACGGGAGCGGAGGTCCCGTGGGTCAGGAGCTCCCCCGTGAAGGCTCTACAGATTTCCTCCAGCGCCCGGAGCGGGAGCCAAAGGCCCCCCGTCGTGGCTCCCCTGCGCCCCCCGTCGTGACCGCCCAGTGGCCCCCGTCGTGGCACCCCTATCACGGCCCCGCATCGCGCCGTCCCAGGCCTCCCATCGTGCTCTCCCCCAAGCATGATGCCCCCCATCGTGGTCCTCCATCGTGGCCCCTCCTCCTCCTCCTCCTCCTCCTCCTCCTCCTCCTCCCCCTCCTCCTCCGTCTCCTCCTCCTCCTCTTCCTCCGCCCCCCCAATCATGGGCCCCCATCGTGGTCCCCCATCGTGGCCCCCCCCAATCATGGCCCCCCACCGTGGTCCCCCATGGTGGCACCCCATCGTTGACTGCGTAGAGCTGCTGAGGGCGTGCTGGCGCGAAGATGACCTTTTTCTCTACGTCAGGGCCCTACCAAAAAATGGCACCACACAATATACGATTCTTTTTTTGCTCAGGTGGCCGGCCGGGTTAACGTCACCACACCATGTTAATATCACGTTCAGCCGCGAATCCCGGCTCCTATCGAGACGATTTTTGCTTCACGCTTGAGCGCTTGTGCGCTTGGAGCGGAGAGGCCAAATTTGGAAGGAGAAGGAGGAGCAAGAGCGAGGGGGAACCCAGGAGGAGGAGGAGGAGGGGAAGCAATCCAAAACACCTGGCGCGGCGAAGGCCGACCTGCCGTAGGCGAGCCGTAGCGCGCAGCCATGGAATCGAGACCCTGGCAAAACTGCATAGCCAACTATATGGGCACAAGCTCCGTGACTGGCCACGGAAACTTCATATCCACCGAGCACTGTAGAAATGAGGGAAAGAGGAGGAGGAAGAGGGGAACCAGGGGCGGAGAAGGCGGGGGAGGGAGGAGAACACACAGAGATGGGCTGGGCGAAGCGTCCTCGCCGCATCTTGGCACCGCTCTCTTGGCGGACATGGCGAATGCCAGAAACTACTTAAGCGAAAATGCATCGGTACGAACGGCAACCAGACGGGGAGGAGGGGGAAGGGAGGCAGATCCACAGCGCCGAGCCCCGCGCCTCCATCACGCACCGCACTCGGCCCAGCCGGTCTGGACGATGACAGGTCGTCCGACTCTGGCTCCGGCATTCGGGGAAGAGCGAGGACGAGACAGGCAGAGGACGCGGAGAGCCGGCGCTCCGCCTCCGGGAGGCGAGGGCGGGAGGAGAGAGACGAGGGGGAAGGGCAGCTCGCATCGGCTGCTGGGTGCAGCGTGTCCCGGAGTGTCTCGGCCACGCGGCCAGGACAGAGTGGACACGATAGCTTGCACCACCAAGCGTGGAGTCGTGCCCTCCGCGGTCCAGATTTGCAGCTCCGAGCGGGGTAATTCAGGGGGGAGCGAGGGCGAGACAGGCAGGGCGGGAGGAAGGAGACAAGGGGGGAGGAGTGCGAATCGCGCACGCCGGGCTCGGGAATCACTGAGGCAGCAGCCTGCCGTGAACAAGAAACCAAGAAATCGTCTGCGCCACACTCCGAACTGACGAATCGATTCGTCGCGGATTCGGTGCGCCGAGACTGCACTATTGGCCACGCGGCCGAGACAGAAAAAGATAGCGAAAACAGAGCCCGGAGTTTTGGTCACACGGCGCGCGGGCTACGCGGACCTGTCGGGACGCCCCGCCCGCCGTACTGCGCGACACCCCTCGTGCACACATTGGGGGAGGAGGGGGCGAGGGAGGGAGGAAAGAGGCGAAGAGGAGGGGGGAGAGGGAGAGGTGCCGGCGTCGGCACGGGGCAGAAGCCCCCGAATTTCCGCCCCGACTTGGGCTACACAGTTTTGACTTCGGGAGCGGCCAAGAGGGGGGTGTCCAAGAGGGGGGGGTGCAAATCATGACTGGCGGCATGTGCGCGGCCCAGGGGGGGGCCAGAGACGTGTTGAAATAAGAAGAGGCGCCATGAAATCTGGGGAAAAATCATGGCCCCCGCCATGATATCCACCCCCCCCTAGTCATCACCCCCCTCTTTTCCGCCCCCGATGACTCCGACAGCGTGCTCTATCGGCCACGCGGCCGGGACAGAAAAAGCGGCGAAAACTGAGCCCGGAGTTTCGGCCACGTTCGCAGGACACGGTGCGCGGGCTGCGCGGACCTGTCGCTGCGCTCCGCCCGTCGTGCTGCGCGATACCACTCGCGCGCCCGTTGAAGGAGGGAGGGGCGAGGGAGGGAGGAAAGAAGCGAGGAGGACAAGGGAGGAGGGAGGAAAGGAACAAAAAAACACAAACAAACTGCAGAAACGCCAGGTCGCGCCCCTGTGAGGGCGGCGCCGGGCAAGCCGCAGGAGGCCGTCCAGCTGCGCGTGCGCCCTCTCAAATCAATATACGTATGTAGATGTGTGTGTGTTTTCAGCGTCATGCTGGCTGAGCAAGCTCTCTCGAGGACGATCTGTGTGAAAAGTGTTCCGTGCTTGCCCAGGGGGCGCCGGCCCGGGGCCTGGCCCCGAAGCCGGACTCCGGGCGCCGCGCCGGGGCCCGGGGACGCAGACGCCAGACACTACAGATCTGGGCTCCAGGCCACGAGCCTCCTCCTCCTCCTCCTCCTCCTCCCCCTCCTCCTCCTCCTCCTCCTCCTCCTCCTCCTCCTCCTCCTCCTCCTCCCCCTCCTCCATCAGGGTCCGTCCGCCCCGCCCGCCCAAGCCGCCCGTTTGCCTGCTGCGGTGATGCTGAGGCGCAGGGGCTCGTGCAGGGGGCTCCAGGAAAGAAGCACGTCTTCTCTTGCACTCTGGATGTCTGAATCTCCGACCTCTTTGTTCCAGGCACGGCACCAGCGCCGCGGCCCCCGCCCTCAACTCCGTTCGGCAGAGCGCCCCCTCCACCCGACCGTCTCATTTCGGCACGACACCAGAAACGCACCCCGTCCTCCCCCGCCGCAACCAGCCGCGCTCCCGGGCCAAGCGCACCCCCTCACCAGCCTCGGCGCTTCGGCACTTCGGCACGGCACCGGCGCCGCGGCCCCCTCTGCCGAGCAAGCCCCGTCCCTCACCCCCCAGCAGGCAGATCGCTTCGGGACCGCAGCCAGGCCCGCTCCTCCTGCCCCAGCAGCAGCAGGCGGAAGAGGGCGACGAGCGAGGAGCAGCGAGGCGCAGCCAGGACGGCAGGAGGAGGGAGGCATGACGGGGAATGAAAACGGGGGAGAACGAAGACAGGGAGTAAGAGGAGGAGGACGAGGAGAAGGGAAGGAGAGGAGAGGAAGAAGCACACGATGGGCCACATGACAAGGCACAGAGCAGCAAGCCGCCATCGGAGCGGCCGATGTCCTGTGGTGGAAGAGCTCGAAGTTTACACCAACGCAGTCACCTTGCGAGCGAAGGGCGACCGTAGCCGATGTCGCGCGGGCTCGGAGGCAGCGGCGGAGAGACCAAAGCCGTGCGACCCCGCAGCGCAGAGGCGGGCTAGCTCACGACGCGCGCGCGGTGGGCGCGAGGGATTCCGCGCCCGCCGCGGCCGCCGCGGAAGCCGCGCGGCTGGGGGCGGAAGGAACCCGAGGGGATTCGGGGCTAGTCCGAGGTGGAGGACTCCCACATGGGGTCCGAGCGGATGGGGTCGGAGGGTCGCGCCGCACCGCCAGCGCATCGCCGATGCATCGCCGATGCATAGGCGACGTCGCCGCGACGTCCGCGTTGAGAAGATCGGGCTCCACATCGAGCCGCATTGCCGATGCATCGGCAATGCGGCGCGTTCCGCCGAACCCATCTAGTCGGACCCCATCCGGGAAGCGTGGACGAGGGCAGCGCGACTCAGAACAGAACGGGACAAACCAGGCACACTTCCGAGGACGCGAGTAGACTTCGGGGCGTCCTTGGATTCTGCAGGGTCGGCCTAAGCGTCGGTTGCGTTTGTGGCAGTGCCCCTCTGGAGGGCAGAGCGCCCAAAAACAATCAAGCAGGACCCCCACGGGCAAAGAGCGATCAACAGGTGCTGTTCGCCGATTCTAGTTGTTTGCCCCCCCGCCCATCGGCGAGGCAGTGCCAGCGGTGCCATCACGGACGTAGACCCGCTCTTGCTACCCCCCCTCCCTTCCTTCCCGCCCTCCACCTGTCGCTTCTCCCAAGAGTATCGCGACGAGGACGAGGGCAGGAAGACGGCGCGGCAGGTACTCTGGCGACGACGACGACGATAACGACGAAGAAGACGACGACGAAGACGACGACGACAACGATGAAAACAACGCAGACAAATAAGACAGGTATGATGACGACGACGACGACGACGACGACAATGACGACGACGACACCGACGACGACAAGACGACGACGACGACGACGACCAACCGACCGACCGACATACCGACCCGAACTTTTTGAGGGCTTCCGTCACCGAAAATGATTTTACACTAGGTCCAATCCCCGAACACTGTTTGCACTTAGGGGTTCTGATGGTTGTTCTGGAGGAGTAGTGGGCCTGTCTGTCGGCTGGCGGCTGTGTGGCCGTCGTCGCCGCCCCGTCGCGGCTTCGTCGCCGCCAGTCGTCTGGGCCTGTCTGTCGGTGTGGCGGCTCTGTGGCCGCCATCGCCGCCCCGTCGCCCGTCGTCTGGGCCTGTCTGTCGGTGTGACGGCTATGTGGCCGCCGCCGCCGCCGCCCCGTCGCCCCCTCGTCGCCGCCCCAGATTGCACAATACAATTTGCGCCGCACATATTCGAACACAAATACTGCAACTGGTACGTCGTCCGTCCATCCTTCCACTTCGCATGCGTCCTATCGCTAGACCAAGACACACCCATGTGATGGCATAGCTGGCGACCTTGATGCAGTGCATGGCCATATCCGTATTGATGG